AGGTGTGAATTGGAATCTCAGTGTGGTTTTGATTTGCATTTCCCTAATGTCTAGTAATGTTGAGCATCTTTTCATGTGCTTGTTGGCCATTTATATATCTTTTCTGAAGAATCATCTGTTGAAGTTCTTTGCCCATTTTTTTTTTAACCTGGGTTGTTGTCTTTTCATTTTTGAGTTATAGAAGCTCTTTATTCTGTACACGGCTTTTAAGAGCTATGATTTACAGATATTTTCTTCTCTRTTACCTGCCTTTTAATGCAACCCATCTATAATTGTTCACATTCTTTTTAAACACTTCTTGAGAAGATAGCCCACTGTCATTGCTTTCTCATGCACATTGTAACTAGTACATAGCTAGTCTAATGAAACTAGACTGACGTCACGCCAGTAGACTTGTGAAGGACAGGACTAGGTTCTCTTCCCAGGCCTCATATTTGATGACAGCTTGTCTCTTACTATTTTACAAGTCACCAGCATAAAATCTAGTTACTAAATGTATTTGTTCCTCTCTTCTGCCTTAATGCATTCATTAGGATTTCTCCTTTGCTCCTGAATAGGAGTTGATAATCCAATTATGTGGCTCAGATTGCATTATTTAACTTAGGCTTTGACAGGTAATAGGATTTAGGTGTTTTTTGTTTTTTTAATGATGCATTTAAAAAACATTAGTGCATTTGCTTTTGAGAAAATTAGGTTCTAGTAAAGCTTAATATGTTTGTAAAATACATAGGAAAGCTTTTAGGATGTGTTAAGCATAAATAGATAAATGGGTAGAAAATGAAGCCTGTGGTATACATAAGTAAGACTARGTCTAAGATACCCAGTACTCCTAGGTACTCAATATATGTGAGAKATCCAAGCACTCAAGATTTATGACATTACTATTCAAGAGGCACTGAATAGTCAGATAACATAAAAGGTGAGTACACAATAGTCTTGAKGTCTTAATTAGATCTCTCATTTTGTCCCCATGTGTCCTGTGTAAAAAAATAACTAAATAAAGCCCATGGCTGCTCCATAGGCCATCAGACAAAGGGCAGCTGTTTGCCAGTCTTATTCTCTGATCAGCAAGTGTGTGTGGTTGGCTTGGGGCACCTGAGGGTCTGCTCAAATCCCCTGGTCTTCAGATCTGTCTTCAGAAAAGCTGATGATACAGAGCCATGCTGGGGAAGGGGTGTGAGGAGAATGGAGGTCCAAAGACATTGAGGAACTCAGGATTTAGATAACAGGCCTCTTTCACCAGGCTTGCAAACACACTGATGGCATTTGCTTATACTAGTTTTTCCATAGTTGCTTCTCCCTGTTTTTGGCTTTTTTTTTT